GCCATACACTGGGTCCCCCTCTCCTGCCATACACTGGGTCCCCCTCTCCTGCCATACACTGGGTCCCCCTCTCCTGCCATACACTGGGTCCCCCTCTCCTGCCATACACTGGGTCCCCCTCTCCTGCCATACACTGGGTCCCCCTCTCCTGCCATACACTGGGTCCCCCTCTCCTGCCATACACTGGGTCCCCCTCTCCTGCCATACACTGGGTCCCCCTCTCCTGCCATACACTGGGTCCCCCTCTCCTGCCATACACTGGGTCCCCCTCTCCTGCCATACACTGGGTCCCCCTCTCCTGCCATACACTGGGTCCCCCTCTCCTGCCATACACTGGGCCCTCTCTTTGAACTTTCCCTTAAGAGACATTTTTTCTTTGAAAAAAATAATCATTTATAAGCCAAGGAGCTAGAAATAAGTGTCATCTGTTTCTAGGCAGCGGTTATTGGGATGGTTCCCTCTGTTCCCGCATAAAGCATCATCCATACCTGAAATTCCTTAGAGGGGACATAGTATTTCAATTTACTCTGAGAGAGAAAGCTAGAAACGTAACTATACCCAGAGGAGGTGGCCTGGTGACAAATCTAATTCACACTAATGTGTAAATGACTCATACTGGATTCTTTGGCAAAGCAAGTATGGATTTACGACTGGACAAGGGAGAGCATCTTGAGAGGAAGCCAATGTCACTGGGGAGTTAGAGGGTAGGGACCAAACACCCAGACACCTCACAAGGTGGCCATGGCCAGGTGAGGGACTGTCTTTCCTTGATCTGAACAAAGAAAGAATGAGACAATGTGTGTGTGTGTGTGTGTGTGTGTGTGTGTGTGTGTGTGGTTTTTGTGTGTTTGTGTGTGTTTGTGTGTGTGTGTGTGTGTGCTCTATTTCATCTTTGGGGCATTTGATACTTGCAGAGGTACTTAACAGGTATTTCCCAAGACCATGTAATGAAGTGTATGTCATCCTTACCTTTAGGGCATCCATGTCAAATTAACACAACGAAGTAAAAAATAAAACCCAGGAAGGCACACTTCCATTCCCAAGCATGTGCTCCAGGTGGGTCAATTCAAAGAGAGAGAATTAATCCCAGAGCAAAGTAACTCTCANTCTTTGGGGCATTTGATACTTGCAGAGGTACTTAACAGGTATTTCCCAAGACCATGTAATGAAGTGTATGTCATCCTTACCTTTAGGGCATCCATGTCAAATTAACACAACGAAGTAAAAAATAAAACCCAGGAAGGCACACTTCCATTCCCAAGCATGTGCTCCAGGTGGGTCAATTCAAAGAGAGAGAATTAATCCCAGAGCAAAGTAACTCTCAGTGGGTGTGCTGGAAGGGGAGAGAAAGGTGGGAGGGGCAGGGGTACATTTTCCCTCATAGAATATTATCTCAAGTGCTTAGCCCTAAAATCTAGAGAGAGTTGTTCTCATTTCTACTGAGAGATGAAGGTGTTGTTTGGGGTATAAAATGGGTGGGGGAGGTAGCCCATGGTCAGAACTGGGGAGCCACTGCAGGTATTTGAGCAGGTGAAGGGCATAATCAGGGCATCTGCTTCTCTCCTGGCCTTTGGCAGCTCCCTGGATCCCAGGTTTCTGAGTTGGAGAAATGGGCAGAGCCTCTGCCCCTTGAGGGATATTGACTCCCTGCCCACCCTTTACCTCTTGCAAGGGCTTTACCACTGTGGGACAAGGAGGATATTTGGAGCAGATAAGGCTATTTTAGGCTGTGAGATGAGAACCTTAGGTGCCTGCCAGGGCTCATACACCCCCCTTGCAGAGATGCCCAGGCCATATGGTACCTTGCTGGCTCCTGGCAGGAGGTGCAGCTTAACGTAGGGATCTGCCAAGCCATTGGAATCCATGGGCTTCAGTCCCTGCAAGAGAAGGAGGGAATGGTGTGAGGATCTCAGGAGAGCCTGGAGCTCAACTTTCATAGGTGATGGGCATAGCCCCTGGCATCTGCCCCACCCGTCGGTCCACTTTGTGTGCAAAGAGCACTGGAATCGGGCAGACAGGGTTTAAAGATGTGTCACTCCCTAGCTGTGTAACCTTAGGCAAATTTCTTAACCTCTGTGAGCCTCAGTTTCCTCACCTGTAAAATGGGGATGAGAACAGTACTTGCTTCATTGGGTGGTGAAATTTAAATGTGATCCCACCTGTAGAGTACCTGGCACGTAATAAGCACTCCATCAAGGTTGAATTGTTATTACTAAGATGGGATAAGATGTCCCAGAATAGTCAGGGTGGGGACAAGGAGAGGCGGGGGAAGGAGGAAACTCCTGAGTTCTGGCCCTAACTCCTGCACTCACTTCTAGACCTTGGTTTCTCCATCCATGGGGATTACAATCTCTGCCTGGCACCCCTCACAGGACTGGGATGAGGCTCGGATAAGACACTGTGGAGAAAGGAATCTGGGGTAGGAATTAAGTTGAGCTTGTTAATACAAACAACCTTAAAATTCCTGGGACTCAGACACTCTTTCCATCTTTCCACACCTGGGCTGGGGCAAGTGTCCCAACTCTGAGCTCCCACAATTCTCTCTCACAGTAGTAATGTCGTGTAATTTGTCCGGTGAGCTCCTTGCCTCAGTTTCCCCATTTGTTCAATGGAGCTTACAGCAGCTGCTGCTTCATGGAGTTCCTGGAGGATTAAATGAGATCTCATCTGTGAAGATCAGCTCCATCCTTTACCAGCTGTGTGTCCTTAAGATTTAACTTTCTAAGCCTCAGTTTCTCCATCTGTACCATGGGGCTAATAAGGTTCCCTACCTCAGAGATTTCTATGAAGATGAAACAAGATATTACATGTACTTACCTCTCTGTGTTATCAGCAGGTTTAAATGCATCTAAGTGCTTTCCACAGTGGCCAATACATGATAGGTGCTTAACAAATGCTTGCTGTAGAAGTGACTTGGCAGAGGGATCTATTGATCTAGAAGTTGTGTTAACCATTTCATACCTCATTTATCATCCAAACTCAGACATTTTCAGAGAGAAAGAAGGAACTCTTAATTATTATAGCCAGGCAACTGGCACAGATGGGGACTGTCATGGGCAAACTGGAACATGTGGCCACCTTACATTTAATACCCACAACCATCCTCATGGGAGAAGCACTACTATTATCCCCAATTTACAAACAGACACACTGAGACCAGAGGGGTTAAGTAACTTCCCCTAAATCACACAGCCACAAAGTGGCAGAGCTGGTATCTGAACCCAGGGAGTCTGGTTCCTGAGTCCTTGCTTATTCTTTTACATGGGCCAGACTTGGGGTTGGGGACATTGCACTGGCTTCACCCAGCTTTCCTTAGGGTCTGGAATTGAGTCAGCTCCCTCCCCCTGGAGACTGTACTGTGGCTTCTCCCACCCCTCGCCACCAAAAGCCGTATTAGTGTCCTTGTATCTGCAACAACAGGTCCTCAACTTGGACTGCTGCTCCAGCCTGATGGCCACATCAGCAGAAGGAGCCAGGATGACCTGGGGATGGTGCTATTTCATGGCCATGTCAGCGATCAAGCCAGGCTGTCATCACCTCCTGACGGCACCTCCACGTCCTCTCCAGAGACACTGAGGACCAGCCTGGGCAGATGTGGCTCTGCCCTTGAAGCTTGGCTGACTCCACTCCCAGGAGGTGGCTGCTGCTAAGTGAACCCCTTCTGGGACCATACCTGGAGGAAACCTCCCCCAAAGGAATTCACCAAGGCTAATGAGTGCCCTCTTCTCATCACTGTCACTGTCACAGATAGACATGGCAACAACAAGAGACAGGCCTGGTAACCCATCCCCACCTGAGTCTTCTGGGAATGCCAGAGCACCCTGAGAGGTCCCCTGGCTTGGCCCCTTCACCCACCTTGGCCTTTATGATGGTGCACTGCAGGGAGCTGTTGTCCTGATCATAGAGTAGGCTGAATTCCAGGGCTCCCAGGGTGGCTGAAGGGGGAAGAGACAGGAACCAAGAGAATGTTCATTCAGTCATTCGACAAACATTTCTTGAGCACTTACTATGTGGTCTGGGCTATGTATTGAGACTACAGAAGAGAAAAGGTCTTGGTCCTTATTCTGGACAACTGATCCTAGTAGATCCTCCACTTTTTAGAGCCCATAGCACATCTGTGATCAGCTAATCATTTGTGCACTTGCTTAGTGACTTCCTGCCCTGTTAGATTGACAGCCCAATAAAGGCAAGGGTTGGGGCTATGTTGACTGCTGTGTCCCCAGTGTGCACAGCACAGGTGCTCACTTATTTGCTGAAGGAATAAATGAGTCCTAGCATTTGCTGTTCCCTCTGCCTGGAATGTTCCCCCTCTAGATCCTCACATGGCTGGCACCTTCCTATTATCCACATCTCAGCTCGAATGTCACCTCCTCAGAAAAGCCCTCCCTGACCACTCCATCTAAAACAACCACCCTCACAGTCACTCAACCTATTTTATTCCTTCACAGTGCTCTGTCTCTATTTGAAATGAACTCTTTGGTATGTTAACTGTCTCTGTACACTAGAATGAATGTTAGCTCCAATAGATCAGCCAGCTTGCCTGTTACTTTTTGCCATGGTATTCCCAGTACCTGGAACAGTTTGGGGCACCTGGTACATGCTCAATAAATACTTGTCAAACTTGGAGATAAGTGCATGAGGACTATAGACATGAGAATGGAAACAGGCTTGTAATAAACCACTGGGATAAGCTAATAACAGGCACTGGGAGGGATCATCTATGCTTGGCAGGTCAGGGGGCCATTTAAAGCAGATGGAAAGAGCAGTGGACACTGTTTCAGGACAAAGGCCAGGATGAGGCAAGGCAGAGAAGTGGATAGACACAGTACATGTCCAGAGCAGAAACAGCCCGTGGCAGACAAGGTGGGGGGACTCTCCCTACTCCTTCTTCCTGAGAATGCAGACCCATGAACCATAGTATGGGAGCACAGGGAACGTGGGGAGACGGCTGATGTTTCACCCAGGTCTGGCCTCTGATCTGCTACAACTGTGCAATTGACTGCCAGCCCCTATACTCACTGGCTGTGTGAGCTTGGATAAGTCCCTAAACCTCTCAGAGACTCATCTCCCTATCTGTAAAATGGGAGTAGTAAAAGCAACTATTCCCGGGCTTGTTGGGAAGATTAAACAAATGAATGCACATAACACACTCAGAATAGTGCCCAGCAGGAAAGAAGTGTTCAGCAAGTGTTGCTTGTTGTTACACTATTAGAACAATGTAATGACTTCCAATTTACGAAGCACCTTCCCAGGAGGTATCTCAGTTCACCTGCTCCTCATCCTGTGTGGGAGATAGTGTTCTGCTTCTCATTTTTCAATAAGGAGAGATGACATGACCAGCCAAGGCCATGCCACTGGTCACACAGCCTTTGGTCCCTTTCTTCTGTGTGGGTCTGGTCTCTCCACCTGACCAGAATCTCTTGGAACACTCCCTACCTCCCAATACATAGTGGGTCTGGGCACTTGCCAGTCCTGCCTCTGTCCAACTCACAAAAGCCACCCCAGATCTCCCCTGCTGCTCCCAGCCACACCCAGGAGAAGAAATGTTACTGGTGTGTGTGTGTGTGTGTGTGTGTGTGTGTGTGTCCCTGGGACTCAGGGGAGAAGTACAGATCAGGCACTTAATCGTTAAATGAATGGAGGCAAGAAGTGTCCAGTAATTTTTAAATCATAGTTAAAAAAATTACTTTTAGAAAACATACATTAAAGAATTAAAAACTATGAAAATAGAGATACATGCACTAGGAGCAGACTTGCAGGGTCATAGTATAAATCCCTGTTTAACTTTTGAGGAACATCAAGAATATAGTTAATGCCAGTGAATTGCATTCTTTAAAACGATTAATGGTAACTTTGATGTTATTTTTTTTTCCACAATAAAAAAAAAATATAGCACTTACTCTTTAGACAGCTGATATCATTTTGTAAATTTAGGAACACAAATTTGTATTTTTATAAGTTGGTTAATATGTTTATTAGGTTTGGCATATTTGGGGGATGGGGGTGCTCAGGGCTGTCCCTGGAGCCATTCCTGTTTTCCTGGGGTCAGCTCCTGAAGTGACTTTTCCCAGACACCACTCCCTTAAGTGCCACCTACTTGCTTCATCCGAGTCGTAGCTGTTGGCTTCTTCCTCCTCCTCCTCTGGGGGTGGTGGCTGGCGAGCAGGGGCCACAGCAGGCTGGGGGGCAGCTGCAGATGCTTGGGGGTAGGGACCCGGTGGGTGGCCCACTCGGTCCTCCCTGGATCCAGCTGCTGAGTAACCCCCAACTCCCCCTGTTCTCTCCTCTCGGGGTGGGGCAGTGGTCCCTGTGTAGCCAGGGTCACTTGGAGCCACCTCTACAGGGAGATGAAGATAGGACAGGAAAGAGACAGCTGAATACCTGTTTCTTAACAACATCACCTAGGAAAGCACTCCAAAATGCAGGTTCCCAGACCCCGCCCAGAATCAGTGGGCTGGGCAGTGGGGTCTTGGAATCTGGGTTTGACAATGAGACCCTTCGGCTGATCTAGATGTAGGCAAAATAGACCTCATGGGGTACTGATCAGTGGTGTGGACTTGAGCCACATAGCTTGGGTTTGAATCTAAGCTGTGTGACCTGGGGCAAGTTACTCAATGTCTCTGAGCCTCAGTTTCTTCATCTGTAAAATGGAGATTATAATATCTGAAAGTATACAACTAGTAGTAGGTATTATTTTTTTAAATGATCTAATATATGTACAGTAGTGCTCAGCACATTAGAAAGCAATGGCTGTGTTGTAGCTATGACGATTGATAATGGCAATGCATATAAATTATGTATAACAATCACTGTCACTTAGCTTGGGCTTAATACATTCCAGGCAACATACCAAGGTTTTCTACATATTTGTTTGTTTATCCTCCCAGCAACCCTGTGAGGTCACTCCTAGTATCATTCCCATTTTATAGAGAGGGTCACTGAGGCTCAGGGAAGTTAAGAGACTTGCCTAGGGTCACACACCTAGGAAGAGGAAGAGCAGGGATTTGAACCCAGGCAGTCTGTGCTCTTAACCACCATATGTGTTGGCATTTTCCATCTAATCTTGGTATGGACTATCCAGAGTTTTGGATTGAGGGGGGCTGCTTTGACCTCATCAGATTGGTCTCAGGGTACAGACTGAGCCAGGATCTGGCAGCCCCTGGCCCTCTGTTGGGAGAGAAGTGGCCACTTGGGAGGGCAAGGGCCCAGGAGAAAATGAACACTTACCTGGTCTCTGATCTGGAAAACGTCCCACTGGCCCAGGACTGGGTCTGCTGCCTCCCAAGGGCCCTGAGTGTGGAGAAGAGAGAAAGAGGATGTAGCAGAGGGGGCAGTGTCATTTGGGTGTCTGCCTCTCCCCCCTCAATCCACAGGTGTGGACACAAGCCCAGCAGCAGAGATAACCAGGGCTTCAGGAACAGTCCCACTGAGGGATCGGGGGATCAGAAAAGCCTGGGTCCAAGACCCAGCACTTGGGGAACTTCTGAGCTTCAGCTTCCTCCTCCTCTGTCAAGTGAGGATGGTGACACCGGAGGTAGGAAACCCTGATGAATAGAGCACTGTCGCTTCTTGCACTAGGTAGGTAAGATGTTCCGCCTCCTATTTTCACCCCCCATACCCCCACACAGCAGCCTTCTAATGTTCTTAGAAGAGCTTAGGATTTAGTGGCTGCAGCTTTACAGAAAGTACAGTGGGCTCTGCAAGCAAGAGGGGGCAGGTATTGGGGTCACAGCTGAGTGATGGCCTGGGAAGGTGGGCAGGTGAGTGGTAGGTACCTGGCTGCCCAGGCTGAGGAGGTGCTGGGCTCTGCATCGAGGCCGGGGCAGGTCTGGAGGCCTGGACTGAGTTGGCCCGTCTCAAACCTGCAGGGGAAAGAAAAGAAAACAGCCATGATGTCACACACACACAGCAAGAAGCAGCTTGGGACCGTTCAGCCCACGTGAGGCAAAGCCCCCTGGATTTCTACGAAGGTGGCACCCCCACCCCACCCCCCCAATTCTTTCCAACCCTCTTCTCCTCCCTTCAAGGTGTGTTCTCTCCTTTCAATACCCAGGCCATTCTAAGCAATCACAGCAGCAGCATGGTTGTTAAAAAGCACTGGTTCTGTGATCCTGCTTCTGCCTGTGTGACCTGGCACAAGTCACCTATTCTCTCTGGGCCTCAGTTTCCTCATCTGTTAAATGGGAATCATACTGCCTCCTAGGCTTGTGATTAAAATATCAATGATACAGTATAGGCAAAGTATCAGAACAGTGCTTGGCCTGTAGTAAACACTCAACACATGTCAGATGTTGATAATACAGGTATATTATCATTATTAAAATAATCTATATCTTCACATGGACTTAGCTTTGCATTCCAGCTTTTTCCTTTACAAGCTGTGTGACATTGGGCTGGTCACTCACTCTCTCTGATCCTCGAATGTCTCATGGAGACAGCAATTCTACCCACCTCATAGTAATAATGAGAAAATATTTATTTGGAGCTTGCCATGTGCCAGAGACATTAAATATAAGTACTGATTTTATCTCTACACTAACAACCCCATGAGGTTCATGCCTTATTATCTCCAAAATGAGGATGGGGAACTGAGGCACAGGGGGTTAAGGAGCTCACCCAATGTCTCTTGGCTTTGTTTGGACTCAGGCTGTTGGTCTCTAGAGTCTGTGCTTGAGACCCTTAGCTGCTACCGCTTCCCTCAGAGCTGCTGGGGAATTGAGTGGGACAATGTACACAGCAGTTCCTGGTGCCCAGAAGGTGTGATGTTCTGGGAAGAAAGCCCTGCTCTCTCCTACCTCACTGGGCTGGATCCCACCTTTCCTGAATTTAGATCTTTCTGCTGGACAGATGCTTAAACTTTGCCACTTTTGACTGTGAGCTCCTAAAGGTAGGACTTGTTGATTGCTTAATACCAGGCTTGGGATGTAGTAGATGTTTAATAAGTACCTGTTGAATGAGAAATGTATAATTGACATTGGTGCTCATCAACAATAGAACAGGCTGCTCCATGAGGTAGTGAGTTCCCCATTATAGAGAGTGTGCAAGCAGAGAATGATCATGGCCCTAACTCAGAGAACCTCTGAGTTTCTGTTCTTTGTGAGGGTGGACCCTGAGATTCCAGGATTAAGCCCTGGAACAAGGAAGTTTTACTGGGAATTAGTTCCACTGAGCTGCTCTCAGCCCTTCCAATGGAAGTTACAGCAGACCAGCCAGGAGTTACCTGGGTTCGAATGCCTGGTTTCAGTTACCAGCTCTGCTATCAATTTCACGTGACTCAGGCAAGTTGTTTTTGCTGGTCTTTCTTTGCCTTGCTTATTAACTGAGGATAATTTTAATAGTACCTATACCAAAGTGTTGATGGAATTAGATGAAATAACACATGAAAAGGGTTTATTCACATGCCTGGCTCAGAGTGGGTACTCAATAAACTTTCGTTGCTATTAATATTAACCATTACTTCAAATCTGCAAACGCTTGAGAGCCTGTAATGAACCAGAAATCTTAGTATAGGCTGAAAAATGAAGAGGAAGAGCTAAAATTATGGTGGATACTCAATAAATATTTTGAAATATAACAAATTAATAGAGAAAGACATGTCCCTGGCATTAGACCAGAAAGAGAGATTCAGGCTATAATATGTTGTAGATGGTGATAAGCGCTGCATGAGGGCTGCATCTCACTGCTCTGGGAACTCAGAGGAGGGAGCAATTAACTCAACTCAAGGTGGGGCAGGTGGATACTGGAAGTTTCCTAGAAAAGGGAAATATTTACATGGAGTCTTGAGGGACAGAGAATCCAAATCTGGGTCAGAGATGTCCTGTGATTTTTTTCCCTCGGGAGACAAAATAATATAGAGGTAAAAGCACAGGATTTGATATGCAGAGATTAACCAAAATGGATCAAAGACCCAATTATAAGAGCTAACACTATAAAACTATAGAAAAAAATATATTTATGATCTTAGATTTGGCAATAGTTTCTTAGATAAAACACTAAAAGCACAGGCAGCAAAAAAATAAATATAATAAATTGGATTTCATCAAAATTAAAAACTTCTGTGCATGAAATGACACTATAACAAAGTGAAAAGACAATCTATAGAATGGGGGAAAATATATGTAAATTATTTATCTGATAAGGAATATGGAGAACTCTTACAACTCAAGAGCAAAAAACAAAGAACTCAATTTAAAAAATGGGCAGAGGACTCAAATAGACATTTCTGTAAGGTAAATATACAAATGGCCAATCAGCACATGAAAAGATGCTCAACATCACTAATCATTAGGGAAATGCAAATCAAAACTACAATAACACAATGAGATACCACTTCACACCCATTGGGATGTCTATTATTAAAAACTAAAAAAACTCAATCCCCTCCCCCAAAACAAAAAGCAAAACTCAAAACCAAAAAAAAAAAAAAAAAAAAAAAAAAAAAAAAACCCCTAAAA